TCAGGTTCCGGTACGAGGATTCCTGCAAGACCGGTTTTGGGCCCTTATTCTTCTTGGCTTCCTCTGGGGGAGTGGGGGTTTCCATAACCAGGGCCAGTACATTAGGAGAATCAGGGAGTTTGTGAACAAAAGGTTTTAACCATTCGGGCGGATCTTCTACTAGATCTTGCCAGACCATAACATATGGGACTTGGCCCGGGTGGCCCCAGGGATCAGGAGCCATAATTTTTTCTTTCACCGTCCGAATAATAGAAGGTTGAAAAGTTCCCTCTGGAGGCCATCCAACTTGGAAGGCGGGCCACTCTGCAGAGCAAAAGGTTATTAATTTACTCTTTGTAACCAGTAGCGACAGATCATACGCTCTAGCCCTGACATCCGAGAAATGATCAGTCATGAGAGAGAGTGGGGTAGATTCTCCTTGCCCCATAGCGAGAGTCGGAAGAAGGTCACCGAGAATTACCACCAAAAAATCCTATCGGGAGTGGTGGCAGCCAGGAGGTTGGGCTTGTGGTATGCTTCGTGGAACTATTTGAGTACCTTAGTCGTTGCACGGAAGTTTTCTTGTTGGGGGCGGGCACCCTAAGGGTTTCTAGCCCATTCCATGACCCCCTTATCCTTTCACGGGAGTCTTCCAGTGGCAGGCGCCCTATCGGCTCTTAAGTGCCTGTCCTGTGCCCACACAGACGGGTTTTTATTTGGCCAGATTCTCGGTTTAGAATACGAGAAAAAAGAAGAGAGTTTCACCCTCTCGGGCTCCCGTTACTGGGGCTGACTTGTTGGGAGGCCTTCAGAATCCGCCGGGGAGTAGCCCTGGCCAGGACTCGTCAGTTGCCCCGACAACTGTCTGCCTGTTCACTGAAACTCTCAGAAACAGAAATGAGGCTCCAAGGCTTTATAGGAGGAAGTAGACAGCGACACACCAGAGAACAACGAGACAGGAGACAATGCCGGCAGTTATACAGACGCGAAAGGGCACAGAAAAACACATAGACAGACACACATCGGCCGACAACACAGAACTGGGGGGCGGGACCCCCTAAGTTTTCTCACCAGATAGAAAGCTTTCTCCTGCGCCAGATACCTTCCTGCTTCACAGCAGGGCCCCGGATTTACACTGGACTTCCTGCGCCAGATACCTTCCTGCTTCACAGCAGGGCCCTGGATTTACACTGGACTTTTCCAGACCTGCCTGAGCACCGGTGCTATTACCTGTCCTTTTTCCCCTTTGTTCCAAAGAGCGTTCCTTCCCGGTCAAGGGATCCCGGATGTTCTGCCTGTAGTCTGAGTCGCCGGTCAGGAAAGAAGACTCCTTGAAACAATGCAACTTGCAATAGGGGAATTTATTACTGACTCGAGCCAGGGCCTCCCGCCCTCACCAAGGGTGTGAGGATGAAAAGGCCCCGAGCCCCAGTTCTCTAGGGTATTTATTAAGTCAAAAAAAGCAGCAGGTAGTTGGCGCAAGCAGATTAGTTACACAGTGGGTAGTTGGCGCAAGCGGATTGGTTACACAGTTGCAAGGCAATTTTTGTTGGCCCAGCGTGGGGCCTTCAGCTTTCCCCTGATAGGTTCCCTTTTTCTTGCTAGGCATATGTTGATTGGCTAGCTCCAGGAGGCCTGATAATTATGTTACCCCGGAAAACCAGGCCTACTCCTAATCTAGGCTGCCTGTCATGGCGTTAGCCGTGACAGCCTCACAATTTATGACAAAGGAGCCAAGAATATACACTGCAGAAAGGACAGTGTCTTCAGCCAACAATTCTGGGAAAACTGAATACACAAGCCAAAAAATGAGACTGGACCCCATCTTACACCACATACAAAAATCAGCTCAAAATGAATGAAAGATTTGAACATAAGATTTAAAACTGTAAACAACTAGAAAAAGAGATAGAAAGTAAGTTCCTTGACATCATTCTTAGCAATGATTTTTGGATGTGACACCAAAAGTAAAACTAGTTAAAACAAAAATAAACACAGGACACTATAGCAAACAGAAAACTTCTGCATAGCAAAGGAAACCATCAACAAAATGAAAAGGCAACCTACTGAATGGGACAAAACATTTGCAAACTGTTTATCTGATAAGGGGCTAATTTCCAAAATATATACAGAACTCATATGACTGAACAGCAAAAAAAAAAAAAAAAAAAGCAAAACAAAACAATCTGATTTTAAAAGAGTCAGGAGATTTTTCCACAGAACACATCATTAAGCATCAGGAAAATGCAAATCAAAACAACAATGACATATTGCCTCATATCTGTAAGACTGGCTCTGATCAAAAAGGCGAGAAATAACCAGTGTTGATGAGGATTTGGCGAAAAGGGCAGCCCATACACTGTTGGTGGGAATGTAAATTGGTGCAGCCACTGTGGAAAACAGTATGAAGCTTCCTCAAAAATTTAAAAAAGAACTACCATATGATCTCACAACCCCACTTTGGAGTATTTATCCAAAGGAAATGAAATCAGTATCTTGAAGAGACATCCAAATATACTAAAATGTGTCAATACTAAAGGCCTCTATTGGTAAGTTTCCTGGTTTTTTTTTTTTAAAAATACCATCTATACTCTCCAAATTTCCCATAATGTGCATGCACATATTGTGTCTATAATAAGGACAAAGTTAAAATGCTACATTACTTCCCTCAGCTTCCTAAGGGCAGGACAGGGCAAGACTGTCCAGGAGGTATAGGGATCCTTCCCTTCAGGGTTGGCAGGCATCTCATGTGTTCTATTTGCTGTGAAGTCTCGTGCCATCTTCCAATGACAGCAACTCAAGTCCTTTTGGCAAGCTAAGCCTTGATACGAATTCTAAGGCTTCTCAGAAACCTGCTAAGTCTCTGCCTTCCAGGAAGGAGTTTTTGGAAGACTGTGCTTCATGTTTTGAGGGGTATGGAACCATCTAACAAGCTCATGAAAGTCTTGGACCCTCTCTATCCAAAAGTGGAGCCCTTGACCATTTCCCAGGCAATTTCAAAGGGCCCCTCTCTACTCTCTCCCCAGGCAGAGGAGAAAAACCCATTCCAGAGCAGGGCCCAGGGTCAGTCTTTCTCTCCAGCATGCCCTTCCCTGGCACCCCAACGTCATGCACTCGTGTTTTACGTGGCAGTTTCAATGTGCCTTCTCCCAGGCCAGCCATGATGAGCCGTGGCAGGAAAAACATTGGGCTCATGTCAGGATCCTGGGTTTTAATTCTAGCTTGGAGACACACTGCCCTGGGACTCTGTGTAAGCAATGGAGCTCCCATGAGATTTGGCTTCAGCTGAAAAAAAAAAAAAAAAAAGGCATCAACCTTAGCCGGGAAGCGTGAGGATGAAACAAGAAAAAGACCATAAATATTCTTGACTTCATCCTGTTGACTCTGCCAGCCCAGAGCTCACCACTTGTATCACACTATTGATTCAATACGTATTGAACACCTCTGAGGGGCCAGGCCTTGGGAGAGCAGAGAGGGATGAACAGGGCAGCCAGCTTTCACAAAGCTCAGCATCCTGTGGGAGATAAGTGGGTCACAGTGATCATCTGATACTTGCTCAAGCAGAGGAGTAGTGGGTGTCCTGGGACCACAGAGAAGGGAACAGTTGTGAGGGTGGAAGTCACCTTCTCAGAGATGATGCTTAGCTGAGCCTGGGGCGGGGTCAGTGCCTAGGGGATGGACAGGGACAGGGAAGCGGGTTCCAGGCAGACCCAACAGTATTTATTAGGGCTCAGCACAAGGCTGGTGGGAAGGTATTTGTTCCCCCCAAGTATCCAGAACAGAGGATGGGCACAAACATTCATCTCAGTAGCAAGAGCCTTGCCTTACAGAGTGCTGGCAGGTGGGAGGAGCCCATCTGAGCCCTGTACCTCCTTGTTAAATACATGAAAGAAAAGTGAGTAGATATTAGGAGGGTCTGAAATTATCATAGGTGAGAAACAGATTTTTTTTTTTCTTTTAATCTTTGGCCACACCTCACCACATGCAGGATCTTAGTTCCCTGACCAAGGATGGAACCTACACCCCCTGCAGTGGAAGCACAGAGTCTTAACCACTGGACTACCAGGGAAATCCCAGAAACAGGGATTTAAAGGTACAGTCATTTACACTTAATTCCAAGCACTCTGGGCCAAAGGGAAAGTTGGATAATGTTCCCGTGCTGCTGCAGAGCTGGGCTCGCAGCTTTGGGTGAGGAATTTCAACCTCCGCTGAGCTCACTCTGCTGGAGCCGGTCCTCAGCACCCTCGCTGAAAGCTGACCCGCTGGATTTCCCCCGCGCCTGTGCCTAAAGGGTCTTCAAAACAACTGCCTTAAAACCTCTCCTCACACCCTCTCCCGTTCACGTTTTCACAAGGCCCCCCGACCCCGCCTCTAGTGTAGCAGTGACCCTGGCACACCACGGTCACATGGGGTGCATCCTGCCATGTACCCAATGCAGACATTTAAAATTTTAAAGAATATTTAGTGGTGACAGAAAGCTCATAGTACAAATAAAAAGAGAGCGAGAGAGCAAAATTATATAAAAGCAGTGTGTGTATAAACATATACATTCACATATCACATAGATGTTTCTCGAACACTTGAGAAAGTAACCTAATGCTAATGTGGTTATCACTTGGGTGAAGGAATGTCTGATTTTCTACTTTATATTATGGGCTTCCCTGGTGAAGAATCCGCCTGGTTTCATACCTGGGTTGGGAAGGTCCCCTTGAGAAAAGAATGGCTACCCACTTCAATATTCTTGCCTGGAGAATTCCATGGACAGAAGAGCCCGGCGGGTTACAGTCCACGGGGTCACAAAGAGTCGGACAGGACTGAGAAACTAACCCTTTTCCTTTTTTCTTTTTTACTTTACATTTGTTCTCTTTCCCCCAACTTTCCACCCTGAACATAAACTTTTTTTTTTCCTCCAAAGACCATAAGAACAGTATTTTAAGATCGTGGTTTTCCAGATCTCTGCACTAGCTTGGGAGAACCCCTAGGTGTGCCAAGGAGCAAGGGGAGGCCGCAGCCGCCCACACCTCCCTCTCCAGGATGGGAAGAGATGGCTGGGCAGGGCCCGCCGGGTCCGCTGGGAGCAGCCCAGGGCACGTCCTCCCCCGGCCGGTGCCTGGTTTGCGTCTAACCAGTCCCCTGGGTTCACAAGAGTTGCCATAGGGAGCCCGGCACGCCGTCAACAGAATGCACCGGTGCGGACTACGCGCAATAAGGGGGCGCTGGCGATGGGGCGGGCGTGTCTCGGGGGGATCCCCGCGGACAGCTACCGGGGACAAAGGCGACTGGCAGCAGCGGCCCGAAGCGCCGGGTCAGAGATGCGCCGCGACCCCGGTGGGGCGTCACGCCGGCCCCACGCCCCACTCGAGCGCTTTTCTCCTGGACGTACGCTCCTCCCCGCCCGCAGCAGCGCGCGCACACCCAGCTCACCTGCAGGGACATGGCGGCTAAACTTGGACGATGCCCGTCTCTAACCGCCGGGTTCCCGGGACCCCGCGCCCAGGGACTCCTTAAAGGGCAGCGCGCCTCCGCCCGCCGACTCCCATTGGTCGCGCTCCCGGGCCCGGCCTATGCCCATTGGTCGCTGACCCGCGAGAGCGAGGCTGGGCTGTGAGTGACACCTTCCCGGCCCGCCGGGCCGCGCTCTTCTCCCAGCCCAAGCCCCACAGAGAGTTGTGCGGCTGCCAGAGGTTGCAACTGGCAAGGCGCAGGGAAGAGAATTTAAATGAGCTCCTCTCTGCCCCTGACTCGCTCTATTCATTGTCTAGAGGTTGTTTTCAGGAAATCCTGAGAGGTCTCTCCAGGGCACTGACCTCACTTGGGATTCCTTTTCATATATACCTGTGTCCTCTGCATGATTCTAAGAGCCTGGATGGCAGACAGCGTTTATCTGATATCTCTGTCTCCCGACTCGTCTTGAGGCACAGCCCATCAGAAATGAAGAGGTAGTTTGTCTCTTCTCCTCGTTATAAAAGGAGAGCCACTTACATTCTGAACACGCTCTGCAATCATCCCAATTGGATTTCAATTAGGGTAAAAAAAAAAAAAAAAAGCACAGGACTCTTCAACATGACCCCATTCTCTAGGGGAACAAACCCAGTGTCACTCCAAGTCTGCAGACACAGAACTGGGTTGTAATTCACATCTGATTACATTTTCAAAGAACTGGAACTGCATTTTCTGGTCATCTGAGGAGTTCATTACATAGAAGTCTTCCTGGAGCAAAGTGATTGGAAGAAAGGGCAAACTCTGTTTTAAGAAAGCTATTGATTTGAAATGTCTAACAATGTAACAACATACAGGAGTTCAAGGCCCTAAAATGGTTTATCGTGTTTTTGCATAAGAAACATTTTACCTTGTTTTTGCATAAGATTACACTTAAAAATTATTTGCTACATCTTCATGTAAATCCCTTGGTTTTTTATTTTCTCCTCAAAACTATTTTCATGGTGAAGTCAATGAGTTTCCAAATAAAGGACAAAAAGCAAATTTTAGAACAATATACCGAAAGGGGAATTCCCTGGTGGTCTGGTGGTTAGGGCTCTGTGCTTTCACTGCTGAAGGCCAGGTTGGACCCTTGGTGGGGGAACTAAGATTCCACAAGCCATGTGGTAATGTAAAAAAAAAAAAGAAATTCTTTTTTCTGTACTGGGCAGAATTTTTTTCAAAATTTCCCAGCGATGAGAAGACACTAAAAGGCACAATGGAAATAGCAGCTGGAGAAGAGCACGTGCTCTGTCTGCTGGGGAAAGCCCTGTTTATCAGTGTGTGTCAGCTGGGAGCAGTGAGCTCCAGTATGGGTGTGTATCTGCAGTTGAGACATTTTGATATTATAGTCATTATAAAAAATTAGGAGGAAAAGAGAGGGAAGATACACTGTGCTCCATTTTATTCTCTAAGTTTAGAATGTTATTTTAAGCACTCTTTCCAAAGCATGTTCTTCTCTTGAGTTGCCATCCTCCTACTGGTTGCCAGAGCCATGACTGGCCTGTCTCAAGGAGCAAAAAGAAACAACAGAAACATCAGTGTCCTCTGTTCAGTGATCATCGTATACTAGGTACAATGAAAACTCAGTTTTGTGGAACCTTTAGGGAGTCAGTCAAGCTGGATAATAAAGATTTTTACTTTTACTATTAAATATTGATTATAAACCAGTATGCATACATACATACATATTTTTAAAAACAAAGGGTGCATTTATGAGCATACCACCAATTTAAGAAATAGAATATTCCCCTTTACCTCTGTGACTCTCCTGGTTCCATTCCATCCTATCCTCCTTATTCACTCACACTTTCATTCATCTAATCAAACAGTTATTGAGTGCCAACATGAGCCAGGCACCCTTCTAGGCTTTTGAGAAACATCAGTCACCAAAACAAACAAGAAGCCCTATCCTTGTGTTATATTTTGGCAGGGGATGACAGATAATAAACATATACAAAAAGCAAATTATACAATCTATTGAAAGATGTTAGGTGACAGGTGCTATTTTCTTTTGCAAAGATTTTTTTGATTTGGACCATTTTTTAAGTCTTTATTGGGCTTCCTTAGTGGTCCAGTGGTTAAGAACCCGCCTGCCAATGCAGGGGACACAGGTATGCCCTAGTCCAGGAACTAGATCCCACGTGCTGCAGAGTAATTAAGCCCATGCACCACCACTACCGAGCCTGCACTTTAGAACCCATGAGCTGCGACTCCTGAAACCTGAAGTGCCTCGGGCCGGCGCGCTGAAACAAGAGAAGCCACTGCAATGAGCAGCCTGTGCACTGCAACCAAGAGTAGCCCCTGCTCACCACAACTAAAGCTCTCATGTAGCAGTGAAGACCCAGCACAGCCCAAAATAAGAATAAATATTAAAAAATAAAATCTTTATTCAATTGTTACAATATTGCTTCTGTCTTATGTTTTTCTGGGTTCTTGGCCATGAGGCATGTGGTATCTCAGCTCCCTGACCAAGGGTCAAAACTGCGCCACCTGCATTGAGATGTGAAGTCCCAAACACTGGACTGCCAGGGAAGCCCCTGATAGGTGCAGTTTTCAAAAAGAGCAGAGCAAAGAGATGGAGAATCTTGTGCATATGGAGTGAGGAGGTGACTTGCAGTTATAAACATGTCATCAGGATGGGCCTCTTGGGAAGATAACATTTGAGTAAAAGTTGAAGGAGGTGAGGGAGCTGGCCTGGAAGATCCCTGGGGAAGAAATTCCCTTGCAAAAACAGCATCCAGTACAAAGGCACTCAGAAATGAGCTTCCTGGCAGGTGTGATGTTCCAATGGGGCTGGCGCAGAGGAGCAAAAGAAGAGGCCAGAGGATAGGAGATGGAGACCCAATCACATAACACCTTGCCTGAAAGCATTTGGCTTCAAGTGGGAGTCAAACAGAACCACCAAAGGGGTTCTGAGTGAGGGCTGACATGATCTGACTTACTTTTTTTTCTTTTTTTAAGAATCTCTTCTGTTACTCAACAGAAAAAAAAAAATTTTCAACAGGAAAAAAAAAAAAGATGCTCAACATCACTCTTTATCAGAGAAATGCAAAATCAAAACCACAATGAAGTACCATTACACGCCAGTCAGGATGACTTCTATCCAAAAGTTTACAAGCAATAAATGCTGGAGAGGGTGTGGAGAAAAGGGAACCCTATTACAATGTTGGTGGGAATGCAAACTAGTACAGCCACTATGGAGAACAGTGTGGAGATTTCTTAAAAAACTGGAATTAGAACTGCCATATGACCCAGCAATACCACTTCTGGGCATACACACTGAGGAAACCAGATCTGAAAGAGACACATGCACCCCAATGTTCATTGCAACACTGTTTATAATAGCCAGGACATGCCCACCAGCAGACAAATGGATAAGGAAGCTGTGGTACATATACACTATGGAATATTACTCAGCCATTAAAAAGAATTCATTTGAATCAGTTCTAATGAGATGGATGAAACTGGAGCCCATTATACAGAGTGAAGTAAGCCAGAAAGATAAAGAACATTACAGCATACTAACACATATATATGGAATTTAGAAAGATGGTAATGATAACCCTATATGCAAAACAGAAAAAGAGACACAGATGTATAGAACAGACTTTTGGACTCTGTGGGAGAAGGCGAGGGTGGGATGTTTCGAGAGAACAGCATGTATATTATCTACAGTGAAACAGATCACCAGCCCAGGTGGGATGCATGAGACAAGTGCTCGGGCCTGGTGCACTGGGAAGACCCAGAGGAATCGGGTGGAGAGGGAGGTGGGAGGGGGGATCAGGATGGGGAATACATGTAAATCCATGGCTGATTCATGTCAATGAATGACAAAACCCACTGCAATGTTGTGAAGTAATTAGCTGCCAACTAATAAAAATAAATGAAAAAAAAAAAAAAGAATCTCTTCTGTTACTATGACTACAAAGAACAACATTGGAAGCAAGAGTCTTACTGTAATAATAATCCAGGGGAGAACTTATGGGTGTCTCCAACTCAGGTGGCAGCAGTGGAGGCAGTGAGATGTTCAGATTTTGCATTTATTTTGAAGGTAAAGTCAACAGGAGTCCCTGATAGATTCTGTATCGGTTTGAAAGAGAGGAGTCAGGACAGTTGTGAGATGTTTGCCTTGAGTAACTGGAAGGACTATAGGTGGAGTTGGCCTGATGGGGTGGCAAAGATCAGAGAGTCCCTTGTACAGCAAGATCAAACCAGTCAAATCCTACAGGAAATCAACCCTGAATATTCATTGAAAGGACTGTTACTAAAGCTGAAGCTCCAATACTTTCCCCACCTGATGCAAAGAGCTGACTCATTGGAAAAGACCCTGATGCTGGGAAAGATTGAAGGCAATAGGAAAAGAGGGTGGCAGAGGATGAGATGGTTGCATAGCATCACTGGGTTCAGCAGACATGAACTTGGGCAAACTCTGGGAGATGGTGAGGGACAGGGAGGCTTGGCATGCTGCAGTCCATGGGGTTGCAAACAGTCAGACATGACTTAGAAGCTGAAAAACAGCAACAAACATCAGAAGTTCCACTGTGGACATGCTGCATTTGAGATATCAGACATCCAGGTGGAAATGTGAAATGGGCAGTTAGATATTCAAGTCTCGACTGGGCTGGTTGTATAGATCTGAGACTCAGGGGTTCAATTTCTGAAACTTGGATGGCCCTAGAAACTCAGTGTGTATGAGGAAAGATGGAAACATAACTGAAGAGTGAGCCATGGGAAATTTCAACACTAAATGTTTTGGGGGAAGAGCACGAAGGAGACAGAGAAGTGATCACTGAGGTGAGAGAAAAACCAAGAGAATGCAGAGTTGAGGAAGCATCATGAGTGAGAAAGTATGTTTTGTTGTTGTGGTTGTTGTTCAGTCACCAAGTCAAGTCCAACTCTTTGCAACAGCATGGACTGCAGCATGCCAGGCTTCCCAGTCCCTCACCATCTCCTGGAGTTTGCCCAAGTTCATGTCCAAAGTATGTTGGGTTAGATGAAGACTGAGAATTAGCAATTGGATTTAGGTCATTGTCCAGATCACTGATGACCTGATGGGAAGTTTTAATGCAGTCGTGGGGGTGGGGTTGGGGGGCAAGCCTGATTAGGGTGGGTTTAAGAGACTAATCATGAGACTAACATATTGATAGTTTCTTGGGCTCTGCATTTGTTTATCCCCCCCCCCCCACATCACATTGTCTTAATTATTAAAGCCTCCCAATTTTGTTCTTCTTCAGGAAGGTCTGTCCTTGGCACCTTGCTCTTCTATATAAATTTTAACATCCATGAGTCGAGTTCCACAGAAGATTCTTGAATTTCTCTTGTCATTGCATGGGAATTCTAGCACATATAACAAGCTGGGGAAGCATCCTCTCATTTTTGTATTCCAGAAGAAATCAAGTAGAATGGGGAAAAAAATTACAACGAGAGGTTGCCCAGCCATCAATGAGTTGAGCTGACCTTGTTCTTGCTGTCTCCCTCACTGTCCTTGCAGTAAGAGGCCACTTTCAAAACACAAAGAGAACTTGGCCGCTTATCCATCGAGTCTCTAACCTGCAGCCAGAATGAGCGTCCTATAGCCCAAACAGCATCTGAGCGCCTGCTGCACACACATTTCATCCCAGCTCTCTTATGATCAACCCCAAATTCTTTTCACAGTGGTCGCTTAATACTAGTCAGGCCTGCTCAGTAAAACTCGCCCAAGAGATTTTCCCGGA